TAATATATAATAATATAATAAAATAATAATAATAATAATAATAATATATTGAAAATAATAATAATAATAATATAAAATAATAATGAAATAATTAATAATAATAATAATAATAATAATATATATTAGATAATTAATAATAATAATAAATAGATATAATAATAATAATAATAATGTAAAAATAATATAATAATATATATAATATAATATATATAACTAATAATAATAATAATACATATGGGAATAATAATAGAAATAATCATAGTAGATAATAATAACTAAGTATAATACATATGGATCAACATAGTAATGGCAGAAATATACGTAAATTAACTAACATAATATACACATATTATACACTATGATAATAACATAATACTACACTATGGGTTACTACATAGTGGTGTATACATAGATGGTACATAAAATAGTGGGAAATATGTATACACTAGTGGAGAATAAAAGTGAGGTATACATAGTGGATATACACTTATGGAGATATCTTAATATGGTAATACACTAGTGGATTAATGTGATACACTAGTGGGTAACTACACTTAGTGGGAACTACACTAGTGGGACTACATAGTGGGTACTACACTATGGGAACTACACTAGTGGTACTACACTAGTGGGTACTACACTAGTGGGTACTACACTAGTGGGTACTACACTAGTGGGTACTACACTAGTGGGAACTACACTAGTGGGTACTACACTAGTGGGTACTACACTAGTGGGTACTACACTAGTGGGTACTACACTAGTGGGAACTACACTAGTGGGTACTACACTAGTGGGTACTACACTAGTGGGTACTACACTAGTGGGTACTACACTAGTGGGATACTACACTAGTGGGTACTACACTAGTGGGAACTACACTAGTGGGTACTACACTAGTGGGTACTACACTAGTGGGTACTACACTAGTGGGAACTACACTAGTGGGAACTACACTAGTGGGTACTACACTAGTGGGTACTACACTAGTGGGTACTACACTAGTGGGTAACTACACTAGTGGGATAACTAGTGTACTACATAGTGGGATACACTGTGGACTACACTAGTGGGACTACACTAGTGGGAACTACACTAGTGGGTACTACACTAGTGGGTACTACACTAGTGGGAACTACACTAGTGGGTACTACACTAGTGGGAACTACACTAGTGGGAACTACACTAGTGGGTACTACACTAGTGGGTACTACACTAGTGGGTACTACACTAGTGGGAACTACACTAGTGGGAACTACACTAGTGGGTAACTACACTAGTGGGTACACTGTGGGACACATAGTGGGAACTACACTAGTGGACTACACTAGTGGGAACTTACACTAGTGGGTACTACACTAGTGGGTACTACACTAGTGGGTACTACACTAGTGGGTACTACACTAGTGGGAACTACACTAGTGGGTACTACACTAGTGGGTACTACACTAGTGGGAACTACACTAGTGGGTACTACACTAGTGGGTACTACACTAGTGGGTACTACACTAGTGGGTACTACACTAGTGGGAACTACACTAGTGGGTACTACACTAGTGGGTATCACTAGTGGACCACTAGTGGGTAACTACACTAGTGGGAACTACACTAGTGGGTACTACACTAGTGGGAACTACACTAGTGGGAACTACACTAGTGGGTACTACACTAGTGGGTACTACACTAGTGGGAACTACACTAGTGGGAACTACACTAGTGGGTAGCTACACTAGTGGGAGCTACACTAGTGGGACTACACTAGTGGGTACTACACTAGTGGGACTACACTAGTGGGACTACACTAGTGGGAACTACATAGTGGGACTACACTAGTGGGACTACACTAGTGGGTACTACACTAGTGGGTACTACACTAGTGGGTACTACACTAGTGGGAACTACACTAGTGGGAACTACACTAGTGGGAACTACACTAGTGGGAACTACACTAGTGGGAACTACACTAGTGGGTACTACACTAGTGGGAACTACACTAGTGGGTACTACACTAGTGGGTACTACACTAGTGGGAACTACACTAGTGGGAACTACACTAGTGGGAACTACACTAGTGGGTACTACACTAGTGGGAACTACACTAGTGGGAGCTACACTAGTGGGTACTACACTAGTGGGAACTACACTAGTGGGAACTACACTAGTGGGAACTACACTAGTGGGAACTACACTAGTGGGAACTACACTAGTGGGAACTACACTAGTGGTAACTACACTAGTGGGAACTACACTAGTGGGAACTACACTAGTGGGAACTACACTAGTGGGAACTACACTAGTGGGAACTACACTAGTGGGAACTACACTAGTGGGAACTACACTAGTGGGAACTACACTAGTGGGTACTACATAGTGGGAACTACACTTAGTGGGAACTACACTAGTGGGACTACACTAGTGGGAACTCCCTACACTAGTGGGAACTACACTAGTGGGAACTACTAGTGAACTACTAGTGGGTACTACACTAGTGGGAACTACACTAGTGGGTACTACACTAGTGGGTACTACACTAGTGGGAACTACACTAGTGGGAACTACACTAGTGGGTACTACACTAGGGTGGGAACTACACTAGTGGGAACTACACTAGTGGGAACTACACTAGTGGGTACTACACTAGTGGGAACTACACTAGTGGGAACTACAGTAGTGGGAACTACACTAGTGGGAACTACACTAGTGGGAACTACACTAGTGGGAACGACAGTAGTGGGAGCTACACTAGTGGGAACTACACTAGTGGGAACTACACTAGTGGGTACTACACTAGTGGGAACTACACTAGTGGGAACTACACTAGTGGGACACACTAGTGGGAACTACACTAGTGGGTACTACACTAGTGGGAACTACAGTAGTGGGAGCTACACTAGTGGGAACTACACTAGTGGGAACTACACTAGTGGGAACTACACTAGTGGGAACTACACTAGTGGGAACTACACTAGTGGGAAACTACACTAGTGGAACTACACTAGTGGGAACTACACTAGTGGGAACTACACTAGTGGGAACTACACTAGTGGGTACTACACTAGTGGGAACTACACTAGTGGGAACTACACTAGTGGGAACTACACTAGTGGGAACTACACTAGTGGGAACTACACTAGTGGGAACTACACTAGTGGTACTACACTAGTGGGAACTACACTAGTGGGTAGCTACACTAGTGGGAACTACACTAGTGGGACTACACTATGGGAACTACACTAGTGGGAACTACACTAGTGGGAACTACACTAGTGGGTACTACACTAGTGGGAACCCACACTAGTGGGAACAAAACACTAGTGGGTACTACACTAGTGGGAAATACACTAGTGGGAACTACACTAGTGGGAACTACACTAGTGGGAACTACACTAGTGGGAACTACACTAGTGGGAACTACACTAGTGGGAACTACAGTAGTGGGAGCTACACTAGTGGGAACTACACTAATGGGAACTACACTAGTGGGTACTACACTAGTGGGAACTACACTAGTGGGAACTACACTAGTGGGAACTACACTAGTGGGAACTACACTAGTGGGTACTACACTAGTGGGAACTACACTAGTGGGAACTACACTAGTGCGAACTACACTAGTGCGAACTACACTAGTGCGAACTACACTAGTGGGAACTACACTAGTGGGAACTACACTAGTGGGAACTACACTAGTGACTTGCAGCAGGCAACGTTCACGCTGTCAGTGACTGAGCAAGAGGAATCACAGCAAGCTGGCCTCTGTCTCCTCGTTCAAGCTGAACATTGCGTCGTCATGTGTAAATCACTGGGCGTAAATCACTGTAAATCACGTTATACGTAAATCACTGTAACAGTTGCATGATCTTACCTGCGAGTTATGGAAGAGTATTGCATGTTGCTCGACACTGTATATACTTCCTCACATCTTCGACTCCTTCGCCAAAAGATATACATAGACACTATATATATATATATATATATATATATATATATATATATATATATATATATATATATATATATATATATATATATATGTATATATATATATATATATATATAATATATATATATATATATATATATATATATATATATATATATATGAGAAAGAACGACAGGGGGAGTTGAATGATGGCTCTAGGCCGTTCATGTTGCAATCAACACATCATCAGGAGGTTGCAAGGCTTCAGAAATAAGTAGGAAGTCCCAGCAGAACTAATCTAGCTGGAACTTCCTACTCATTTCTGCAACATTGCAAGCTCCTGATGATGTATTGATTACCACGCGAAAGGCCTAGCACTATTATTCATCTCCCCCTGAAAAACATTCCTGAGTGATATTGGTTTTTAATCCATATATGCATATACACGAGCAGTATATATGATCGCTAAAATAACTTAGATTTTAGGGAAATATACACCAGAATATACACAGGCAATAGAATGCTATATACGACATCTGATCGCCAGAATTTCTTAGATTTTACTGAAATATACACCAGAATATACACGGACAGTGGAAACTTGTATAGGACGTCTGGTTCCTTGAAAACCTACCTAACTATTGTATATATATACCAGCGCATATACGGGCAGTGGTATGCAACTTGCTGTGGCTGAGAGGTATTGTTCATATATGGTTCATTGGGAGACTGAAGTGAAGGGCTTGTGATCTGAGGAAGTGGAGCTATCTCCTCCCCCATTTTAGGAATATATCTTATTAAATCCCCTAATATCCCATCCATCCTCGCACTAACCAGGCGCTGTGTGACTCCTAAGCATTTAGCGTTTTCCGTGAATAATGATATTAATGACGGTAACAATAACAATAATAATAATAATAATAGTAATAATCATAATCATAAGAACATAAGAACATAAGAAAGGAGGAACACTGCAGCAGGCCTGTTGGCCCATACTAGGCAGGTCCTTTACAATTCATCCCACTAACAAACATTTGACCATTATAATAATAATTATATTATCATTATTTATTGACAGACTCAGTGTAGTACAGCAGCCAGGCGTCACCAAGCTCAGGGAACCAACAGCAGCAGCACCAGCAGCGACATGCAACAGCGACAGCAACAACAGCAGCAGCAGCAGCATCAGCAGTATCTCAAACAGCCTCTGGGGGTGCTGAAGAAAGGGCGAGGGAGCCAGCCAGAGGTTCATGATCCAGGGGATGACCCACACGAGTGCTACACAGAGCACCAGCATCACCATCCTGACGATCAGAGTCCTGATGTGGTGGCTTGCAGTGGAGGTATGTCCATCAGGTCCGTGGCTGCCTCCTCTACCTCTTTCTCCTACCTCACCTTATATATATACATATATATATATATATATATATATATATATATATATATATATATATATATATATCGCTAATTATTTGACGCTTTAAAAGTGATCTACATTATTATTAGCAGTAGTAGTAGTAGTAATAGTAGTAATATTGTACTATTATTATTTTTATTGTTATTATCATTATTATTATTATTATTACGATTACTATTATTAAACCAGTTATTATTATTATTATTATTTGTACGCTCTGAAGCTACCGTCATTCAACGACTTGGTGTTTAGAGGTGGTCAGATTGAATGTTTGGACGGGGTAAAGTAGCTCATGTTCCTGGGATCAAGATCCCTTCAGTAGAATCAAGTGGTCAGGTTGAATGTTTGGACGGGGTAAAGTAGTTCATGTTCCTGGGATCAAGATCCCTTCAGTAGAATCAAGTGGTCAGGTTGAATGTTTGGACGGGGTAAAGTAGCTCATGTTTCTGGGATCAAGATCCTTTCAGCAGAATCAAGGCGTTTCCCCTTTGAAGCGGAGTTAATGTCAATCTTTCAGACTGGAGGGGTGATGTAAATCAGACCGGAGGGCGCTGGTCGTTCCTTCCAGGCCACAGATGGGTTTCCCCCCTGCAGCCGCTGTAACACTGCAACAATCTCCAACTCTGCCCCAACACAGCCAGCAGTGCCAGCAGCAACAGCAGCATCACTTATCACCGTCACTGACTCAAATATCACCTGACCCGCATCACTACACACTGCCTCTCTCAGCTCACAGGGACCATGAGCTGAGACACACTCACCTACTCAGACAATCTACCTATTCCACCTCTCCTAGAGTAAGTATATCACTGGCCATGTTGATCAATACTGGTCTCTTAAATATCTAGTCAGATCTATATTGCCAGACCATTGTATCCAGCAGTGGTAAGCCAGTGGTCACTGCTGTGATGGCCTACCACAGTGACCCAGACCACTGTATACATACAGGTGTAAGCAGTGGCATGCTGGTATGGCTACCACAGTGACCCAGACCACTGTGTCCAGCAGTGGTAAGCCAGTGGTCACTGCTGTGATGGCCTACCACAGTGACCCAGACCACTGTGTCCAGCAGTGGTAAGCCAGTGGTCACTGCTGTGATGGCCTACCACAGTGGCCCAGACCACTGTGTCCAGCAGTGGTAACCCAGTGGTCACTGCTGTGATGGCCTACCACAGTGACCCAGACCACTGTGTCCAGCAGTGGTAAGCCAGTGGTCACTGCTGTCCTTATCCAACACAGTGACACACACAGTACAGTAAGTCCTCACACTGTTTATTCTATCTTAGTAACAATCTTAGTAACAGTTTATCTTAGTAACAATCTTAGTAACATTTTATCTTAGTAACAGTCTATCTTACACTCTATCTTGACAACACTCTGTCTTGTTCAAACAATGACTCATGCATTACACACTCCATTTTAAAGGGGTGGAGGGGTAAGCCAGCGGAAGGCGTCGGTCAGATGACCAAAAACTCAATCTGCGGGTCATCATCTAAGACCCACGGCAGGAAACACTTGCCCTGTTTCCTGACAAACCTAACCTAACTTAACTATACTCAAGTATTGGTATCGTTATATTATCGTAGTTTGCTACGTAACTACGCTATACAGAAAGAGTAGATCGGTTATTCTATAATAACTGGAAGCACACAGACATACTTACATTTCTCCCCTCTAAGTGCGAAAAAGAATTTGTATTAGACACGAGGTAAAAATTTGGGTCTAATTTAAATGACTTATATAGCGACCATTACCACGAAAAGGCCAGTTAAGGGCTTTTGGAGAAAGGACGTTTAAAGAAAGAGCTGCCACTTGGCTCCCTTGTAAGTGCCAGCATTAACGTGAACCACTTAGCAAGCAAGCAACTACCATCACAGTTATTTACGCTTGCTCTAACGAAAGAATTCAACATTTTTAGCACTGGTAGGGAGGGCGCCTTTCACTTCTCTTTTTGTCTCTCTCTCTCTCTCTCTCTCTCTCTCTCTCTCTCTCTCTCCTCTCTCTCTCTCTCTCTCTCTCTCTCTCTCTCTCTCTCTCTCGCAGTTCTACAGGTATTTCTTAGCTTGGATTTTGCATAGGAGTAGAAATATGTTGGGTTTCTTGCAATATCCTGTATGACCCTTTGTTCTCTTTGTACTTCTCTTTGGTATGACATCCTCGGGGTTTGCTCTAATTCTGTGATCTCTCGGCTAAGGCTCTCTTTCCTCCGTTGTGACATATTTAGGTTCGTAAGTAATTCGGCAACCCGTTTTCTTTTTTTGTACCATCTCCTATCTCTCTCTCTCTCTCTCTCTCTCTCTCTCTCTACTGTTTCTATCCTTGGCTCACACACCTATTTAATACACGATAGTTCTTAATGTAGGTAAAAGTAGATAGTTCTCAGTAGATAGATTCAGTGTGGAGTTCCATGTACTAGCTATTTGTCTTTCTCATGTACTAGCATGTGCTCCCTCCCGTGTACTCCCATGTACTACCATTATGATATGACTGAAGGATGGAACGGGTATCATGACATGACTGTCAGAAAGAGCGAGTATCATGCATGACTAAAGGAAGGAGCCTATATCATGACGTGACTAAGGGAAGGAGAGGGTGTCATGACATGACTGATGGAAAAAGCGGGTGCCATGACATGCACTACCGACATGAGTTGATGAATAAGCGACATATGGAATGACTAATGAAGGTTGCAAGTATGACTTTCTCATCTAAAGAACATCAAGAACCCCCTCTATACCAGCAGCATCAAGGGACGGCACTGACCAAGGTATGTTTTTCTTCGGCAGGTGTGCGGGAACGCTAACATCGAAGTACACTTCGGTGAGGGCCCCAGCGAGAGCAATCCTCCACCTGCTCCAGCGCCAGATGATGTCCCAGCACCTATTCTTTACGCTGGGGATGGGTCTTCCCAGCCTGTGGGTGTAGGAGCAGGTCTTCCTAGGATACCAGAGGATCCTGAGAGTCCTACTTCGGCCAGAAGAGAGAGTGCAGTGTGAGCCAGGCTTAACTTAGTCAATGAACCTTCTTAAATAATATTTATAAAACGGATTTATACTGGGGTCACCTTTTGTACGAACCTCCTAAGCCAAGTGTATCCTATCGGAGTAAAGGAATATTGTATATGTGTGTGTACATATGTAAAGTTACTAAGTAATGGGGATGATACGGAATCTGTTGAACCGAGATTGCCATTTACATAGCATGGCTTGTTGGACATTTATCAAATTCCCACCTTTTTTAAACTTTATCGTGTGTCAGATTTAGCCAAAAAGTAAGATTCATACTGAATAATCATTACCTTGTGATACCTAATCTGTGTTTAAGATTAATCAGGGGAAATAATGCATTTGTATTGTTTGTATTTGTGGCTGGATGTCTGCTTACAAGGTTTGGGAAAGCCAGAGCCTTGGAAGCCGACCTCAGTCTAATGACTTTAACTGAAACTGGAAAACTAGCCTCAGTCCAATGGAATTAGGAAAAAGTAGTGGATAAACAGTGAAAATAAATAAAATCTTGGTATATAATATTATGAGCGTTTGTTTTATGGGTGAAGAATGTAACCACGATACTCCAGCAGATTCTTGATCACTGAGCGGATCCTTATGTGACAAATATTCCCTTCAGAAGGCACTTGTCCTTTTTCCTGACAAATAAAACAACCACGTACAACTCCAGCCCAGTGCGTAAGCCACTGGTCACAGTTGTGGCCCATGCTAACCTTCCTATGGTGTATAAACATACCTAGATGGATGAATCTTATTGTATCAAGCTGGCCCAGTGATTTACGCACTGGCCCGGAGTTTTACGACTCTCTCGCCACGAGTTCAATCTCAACCCGTATCGTGATTTATTTACAGTCGTGTTATTACGATTTCGTGAGTCAAGATCACACACTATTATACCCTGTGACAACAAACTACTTAATATAACGTATTGTGAACCATCAACGATAGGCTGTGTATAATCATACACTTTCTGAGAGAAGAGAGACAATTTATCAAAATACTGACGAGGAAAACTGACGAGAAATAATTTGCACATGTCCTTAAAATTCATCTCAAAAACCAAAATCACTTCAAAACTAAACAGACTCACGAAAATAGCCAGATTCGTGCATGCTAGTTTTTCTTCCATGTGTTAGATATTTTCAACTAGCACTAGCCTAAAAATGGAATCTAACCTACCTAAAATTTACAAAATATATTCATATGCTTATTTAAAAATTTCCGAATGAAAATTTGGCCTGTGATTCATCTGAGAACGATAAATTCTAGGAAGGGTCAATGTTCCCAGGCTAATGATAAGCCTATACCTCCAGGCAGATGACAAGCCTATTCCTCCAGGCAGATGATAAGCCTATACCTCCAGACAGATGATAAGCCTATTCCTCCAGGCAGATGATAAGCCTATACCTCCAGGTAGATGATAAGCCTATACCTCCAGGCAGATGATAAGCCTATACCTCCAGGCAGATGATAAGCCTATGCCTCCAGGCAGATGATAAGCCTATACCTCCAGGCAGATGATAAGCCTATACCTCCAGGCAGATGATAAGCCTATGCCTCCAGGCTAATGATAAGCCTATACCTCCAGGCAGATGACAAGCCTATTCCTCCAGGCAGATGATAAGCCTATACCTCCAGGCAGATGATAAGCCTATACCTCCAGGCAGATGATAAGCCTATTCCTCCAGGCAGATGATAAGCCTATACCTCCAGGCAGATGATAAGCCTATTCCTCCAGGCAGATGATAAGCCTATACCTCCAGGCAGATGATAAGCCTATTCCTCCAGGCAGATGATAAGCCTATACCTCCAGGCAGATGATAAGCCTATACCTCCAGGCAGATGATAAGCCTATACCTCCAGGCAGATGATAAGCCTATGCCTCCAGACAGATGATAAGCCTATACCTCCAGGCAGATGATAAGCCTATACCTCCAGGCAGATGATAAACCTATCCCTCCAGGCAGATGATAAGCCTATACCTCCAGACAGATGATAAGCCTATCCCTCCAGGCAGACGATAAGCCTATACCTCCAGGCAGATGATAAGCCTATTCCTCCAGGCAGATGATAAGCCTATGCCTCCAGACAGATGATAAGCCTATACCTCCAGGCAGATGATAAGCCTATACCTCCAGGCAGATGATAAGCCTATACCTCCAGGCAGATGATAAGCCTATACCTCCAGGCAGATGATAAGCCTATACCTCCAGGCAGATGATAAACCTATACCTCCAGGCTAATGATAAGCCTATACCTCCAGGCAGATGATAAGCCTATCCCTCCAGGCAGATGATAAGCCTATACCTCCAGGCAGATGATAAGCCTATACCTCCAGGCAGATGATAAGCCTATACCTCCAGGCAGATGATAAGCCTATACCTCCAGGCAGATGATAAACCTATACCTCCAGGCTAATGATAAGCCTATACCTCCAGGCAGATGATAAGCCTATCCCTCCAGGCAGATGATAAGCCTATATCTCCAGGCTAATGATAAGCCTATACCTCCAGGCAGATGATAAGCCTATCCCTCCAGGCAGATGATAAGCCTATACCTCCAGGCAGATGATAAGCCTATACCTCCAGGCAGATGATAAGCCTATACCTCCAGGCAGATGATAAGCCTATACCTCCAGGCAGATGATAAGCCTATACCTCCAGGCAGATGATAAGCCTATACCTCCAGGCAGATGATAAGCCTATACCTCCAGGCAGATGATAAACCTATCCCTCCAGGCAGATGATAAGCCTATACCTCCAGGCAGATGATAAGCCTATCACCTGAGTTAGACTATCCTTAGAAGGGTACTATCCGGCTGGTCTGTGTGTGATGGTGTACTGATAAAACTAATGGTCGGGTTTATAGCTGTGGTATACAATAGCAAGAATTTTATAAACTAGACACATGTACGTGACTTGTATTCGGTTGAAGAAACCTGCTACGCAGACGCGACGTTTCGATAATAAAGATACCTAGGTGTTGCATATATGTCTCAGCCATTAACCGTGTTACAAATATATTTTATTAACCCAAATGACAATAGTGAACAAAAGACATACGTTTTGAACGAGCATTTATTAGGAAAGCTTTCGCCCCTATGTAGAGCTTTATCAAGTTATGATTAAACTCCACACAGAGCGAAACGTTAAATAACAAAAAGGCACAATACCGTGACTGGAACGACTTTGTCAATGGTCCAAGTCGGACCGAAACGTCGTCGTAAGCTTCTCTCTTTTATGTGCGGGTTATTTGTGTATAGAGCGAAACGTTCTTCAGATCTCAAGCTTTACCTGCATCTTGTGTCTGCACAGCCACACGGCATTACAACTCACTACTTAACTCACTATTCCTACACATTAGTGAGCTTAACAAACCGTGTTAATTCGTGTTTTCAACACTAGTACATTAATTATTCGTGTTTCAGACGAATTCAATGTGTTATTAATTTACACGAATGATTTATATTTGATTTACACGTATCTACACAATACTAAATTTTGTCAAAACACGAACTTAAAAAATCTGTTTCACTACCCACACCCTCTCTCACTCTCTACGTCTACGTCTACGTCTACGTCTACGTCTACCCTCTTCAGTAGACGCAACGTTTGCTACGTTATCTGCTACTCAAAAAATCTGTTCCACTACCCACACCCTCTCTCACTCTCTACATCTACGTCTACGTCTACGTCTACGTCTACGTCTACGTCTACGTCTACGTCTACGTCTACGTCTACGTCTACCCTCTTCAGTAGACGCAACGTTTGCTACGTTATCTGCTACTCAAAAAATCTGTTCCACTACCCACACCCTGTCTCACTCTCTACGTCTACGTCTACGTCTACGTCTACGTCTACGTCTACGTCTACCCTCTTTAGTAGACGCAACGTTTGCTACGTTATCTGCTACTCAAAAAATCTGTTCCACTACCCACACCCTCTCTCACTCTCTACGTCTACGTCTACGTCTACGTCTACGTCTACG